TTTTTGGTTTTTCTCCGGTACCGGGAACCGAACTCACGACCTTGCACTTGCCAGGCAGGCGCTTTTGCCGCTGAGCTAAATCCCCAGCCCCCATGTGCTCCATCTTTGAAAACGATGAAAGTAACTGTTGTGAAATGACACGGATAGAACCAGGCAGTGTGTCCTTACCTCCGTGGTGAACAGTGATGGGGAGAAAGGGAGAGTACTGCTCCCTGGGTTGGCGCTGAGTCAGAGGGGCTTTGGAGGAGAAGATGCTTAGAGATAATCTATAGGCAATTTAAATGTTCTCTAATACCTACTGGAAGCAGCTTTGGACTGCAGGTCAGGAGATCAGTACTGTGGCCCAGGTTCTAATTAACTTCCTGTCTCATCTTGACCGAGACGTGGAGCTTCTTTCATTTCAGTGTCATTTGTCAAAGGATGGTAATAATCCAGAAAGGGTCATCATAAGGTCAAGATGAAATTAACACATGTGTTTTTAATGGTAGCATTTCTATGTAAGCATGAGGCATTATTTTTCAGGTAATATGTGGTCTTGTTATGAAAATTTTCCCTACCAATTTAGATGGCCAATACATTGATTGCCTTGAAATAAATTATATATGTTGATGCATAATTTCCTACAAGTTGAGTCTTTATGCAAGTTAATTTCATTGTGTAAGCAAGGGATACTATTTTAATATGCAAATTAATATCTAAAACTAATTATACAGACTTTTGTAATGGAAAGAAAGTTTAGCATGCCTGCAGGCAAACCCACTGAGGAAATTCTAGAGCTCACATGCCTCAGCTGCTGTGTAGAGCATGAGATAGCGAAAGCTGCCTGGAGCAAGCATGAAGCCAACTCTGAGCTTGAGATTGAAGTTTGCAGTTACATGAGTCAGTGGTAAGGAATTTGAAGTAATTGGACCTTCCAGCTCCAAGCGGCAGCCAACTGGGGGACTAGCTGCACAGGATTACCAACCTGGGCTCAGTCAAAAGACTACTCAGATTTTAGAACAGGAAGGGATCTCAGCAATCAAATGATTAATCTCTTCAATTTACAGTTAAACAGAAACCCTGACAGGTTAAGTGATTTGTTCAAATTCACTGGTAAAGTGATCACTTAACCCTGACAGGTTAAGTGATTTGTTCAAATTCACTACCCAGATTAGAATCCTGCCTTGTTCCTTGTTGCTTCCATGTTTGCACCATATTTAAAGTTCCGCTCACATACTGGATGGAAGGAACTCCTGGGATTATAACTGAAACCTCAGATACAATTGATGCCACTTTGTGAACAAAGTGAATATAACTGACAAAGAAGATGGTGCAGATAAGACATTATTTGGTGGTCATCTGAGTCAGCCAGGTCTTAAATGTATGCAACCTGGGTAAACCTAATGACTTCTATGGATTGTGTGCAAGCTATTGATGTGCAGTTGAACTGTGTCCATCACAGTAAATTTTTTCCATTTGTAACATCTCAGGGTGTATGAATTGGATGTTCTGGCACCATTCGATTTCAAAACCAACCCTTCATGGCTGGACACAAATTATAAAGGTAATTTTAAAATTTTTAATTCTTATTAATAAGTGAGCCAAAGTGAGAATCTTTGAAAAAATAGAATTCCAAAAAAATTATGCTTTCCTGTCCATCATCTGTATGTTATATCTGACTTCAAAAAATATTTAGGGAAAGTATCGTAAAAAATTTCAAATTAAGTAATCCTAGTAGTCAGAGTATGATGGTGTTAGTGTAGGAAGGCGGTCAGAATTCTGTGAATTTCTATTTCACAGTATTGAATTTTTGCACAATAAGCATATTTTAAAGAAAAAAGAAGAATGGCAACGTTTTGATGCAGAAAGATGTTCATGACATATGAGATAGAAAATAAAGATTACGAAGGAGTTTGTGCAGTGTAGTTTCATTTTTGAAAACGAGAGTAAAATTCACAGTTTCAGTGGTAAGATGGCTGGAAAATTATGCAACAAACTGTTATCTCCCATCTGGGATGACAGAGAAATTTCATTTTCTACTTTGTACATTTTTGTTTTGTTTTACTTTTCCTCTCAAAATAGTGTAGAATTTATTACAGAGGAAATGTTCTAGAGCACAGTAGGATAACAAGGTTAACAGAGTTAATTGAATATTTCAAATAGTTAGTAAAGAGGATTTGCAATGTTCTCAACACAAAGAAACAATAATGTCTGAGGTGGTAGTTGTGGTAGTCACCACGAGCTAATCGTTACATATAATATATCTGTATTAAAATGTCACACTGTATCCTATCATATATAGTTACTATATGTCACTCAAAAATTAAGAAAAACAATTCACTGTAGAACAGAAACAATAGAAAAGAATATACTAGGACAAAAATCTATCTTTTTAATTTTGCATTTTTAATGAATAAATAATGTATGCCTTGTATGTTTATAAGTCTGTATGTCCGTAAAAATGCCTATTTCAATATACGTCAAACATACTTGTTTTGGGTGTTCATGGTGAGCTTGCCCCATCTTCAGAAGAGCAAAATTTTAATGTCACTTTCCATTATAATACACATTCCATTATAATGTCACTTTCCATTATAATACACATTAACTAATGAAATTTTAGACAATATCAACAAGTAGAAAGGGAAAAAAAATCAAAAACTTACTTTTTGTGCACAATTATTCTTAATAGTCTGTTCAATATCTCCCAGTTTTAAAAAATGTGCTCTTAATTCTTTAAACATTAAAATTTACTAGAAAACCATAGAATAATCTTTTTGGTGGGAAAGTATGCAAATATACAAAATTGCCTCAGGCCAAAGAAACCAGATTTCAAATATGATTTGTATGGAACACTTGGTCAGCTAGAATTACTGAATTCAAATAAAAAGCCTTAAAACATCCTCCTCCACTTGATAACCTTGTTTGGTGCCTTTATTGACTCAATTTTGGACAGCAAGGAATAGGTGAGAACTAGAGATGTTTATTGTAACAAGATACAAAAGGTCTAATATTTTATGTGCACCTTCTCTTCATGTATTTCTTTACTGAAGATGGAATTAACTTCTAATTATTATTATACATCTCCACAAAAGATAGCAAGATAGTCACAGGAAAGAGTCAAGATTAGGCATGTATGTGTTTTGGGTAGGGAGAGAGATTTCAAGCTGAACTGTCATTTACTTTCTTGCCTTTTGGTCAGCCAGAGAAGATAGGCCAATGTCACTGGCTTATTGGAGGAGGTTGTTTATACATACCAGAGATTAGTGAAGATCCCGAGGATGTCTGGCTGAGTTTCAATATTTTTTTCTGTTAAGAAACATGAACATTTGTACAAAGATAGTGATAAACTCTTAACCTATTAAATCTTTAATTTTGGGTTTAGGAAGATAAGTGCCATAACTCTCCAAGGTGGTTGTTTTGAGAATCTGGTCTTGTTTAATCTTGGAGATAAAATATAAACGTCATCTCAGAACCTTGGGCTTCAATTTAGGATCAGGTTTCTTGTCTATTTCAATAACTTTTTTCACCCAGGAGATCAGTTTTTGAAAGGACAGTGGAACATGTATGTTTAGGTAAAGCATTTTGATGAGTAATATCTTTCCTTTGTGTTGCAGAGAATAGTTTACAAATTCCTTTCATTTAAGCTGGAAACCTCCCAACATTTTTCTGAGGTAGATAAGATAGTACTCTGTTTCCAATTTACCCAGAGGTTAAAATCCTGCTCAGTGTCTTAATTAGAACTCTTAAGCTGTGAATGCTAGACTGGAGTTCTGCTATCTTGACCTCAAGTTTCACACTATTTTCTTTAAATCATGCTTTCTTTCCTATTATAGACAAAGCCTAAGTATTCTTTGTCAATGGATGAAACTAAGACTCGTGCAAGTCTACAAGTTTTATTTGTAAACTATCTGCAAATAAGATAAAATCTTTTTAAAAAATCACTATCTACAGAGACTGCAAGTTAACCTATAAACTTTAAATGCTGACTAAAGAGGTATCTCTATTTTCTTTTAATACTAAGGAGCCTGTATGAGCCATTTTTTGGAGGAAAGGGTGAAGTCTGAAAGGAGAAATAATGTTAAAATGACAGAACAGAACAGCTCCAACTATGCCAAACTGATCTGTATATAATCAAAGAAATTTCCATCCTATAGAAAAGGATGAGAATTCATCACTTAACTGTTGGAGATTATTGAGTTAAAATAAACAGAACCAAAGAGGGTTAAATGTGATACCTTTAAGAAGATGGTGATGCCAGGCGTGGTGGTGCATGCCTGTAATCCCAGCACTTGGGAGGCTGAAGCAGGAGGATTGTTGCGAGCTCAAGGCCAGCCTGGACTACAAAGTGAGCTCAAGGCCAGCCTGAACTGCATAGTGAGATCCTGTTTTAAAAAAAAAAAAAAAAAAAAAAAAAAAAAAGATGGTGTCTGGGCTTGCTTACATTATATCTTACTTACCCATTAGGCAGTCAGCGGCTTGCTGGTTGATAAATTATTTTTGCACAGTAGGGAATATTGTAGGTGATTGTTTTATTTTCCAGTTTGAAAAAGATATAGTTTGTGTAGATATATTGATTCCTAAATTATATGAACATACCTATCATTTACTATGTTTTAAAAGGCACGGAAGGTCGTTTTTATATAAAGTGGTATATTATCTACCAAGGGAATTGGTGGTATACCATCTGTATGAGCCACTTTAAAGCCTGATGAATCTCTTCTTTGAAACTACTATAGTCTAGGGGCTGGGGATTTAGCTCAGCAGCACAGCGCCTGCCTGGCAAGTGCAAGGTTGTGAGTTCGATTCCTGGTACAGGAGAAAAACCAAAAAAAAAAAAAAGAAACTACTATAGTCTTAAAGGGTCATATAAAAGACAAGAGGCAAAAGGTTGACCTTCTTGTCTTCAGGTGTCTTAGAGATTTGTGGTCCCGGCTTGTAAGTAACAATTTCTTCAAATTCAGGGAGACTGCTCTGTGACAACCAGTGACTGTAGAACTGTTTCCATGCACACTTGTCATTTAAGAGGCTTTCTTTCACCCATGATGATCAGTTATGTTTCCTAGATGACCATCTGAACATATCAAATTATTACAAAAACACAGAGGAACTCATTTCCAAAATAGGCCCTGCTTGGTATCAGAAATGTTCTACTTCAATAAACTCTGTTTTTTTTTTTCTCATTTCTAAAAGCTAAGAACTGAATTCTTTCACTAATTTCATTAATTTTTAATAACTTTTAACAGCAATCTGATAACATATTTGCACATAAAATATATCTTGTAACTTTTATTACATTTTACCTGCTAAAATGCTAAATACAAAGCATATGAAAGAAAATTATATACTTAGTTATATGTCTATAAATCTAAGATGATTAAGAGAATATACTAAAAGTTCTTGTCCATACTTGAGGATCGAGTAAGAGATGGGCCATTTTAAAAATCCTTATCAAAATTCTTTGCTGGGTTTAGTTTTTATGGTCTCAATGCTAGCTATATTTCACAAGTGTTACTTGCACTAGTCTCAAAAATTATATTCATGATTTTCTTTGCAGTTCTTTTATTCTCAACAGAAGTCACCTACTTTTTTTGTGGGCTGCTTTTTGCTCTGATTGTAGAAGAATGGGTTTGGGATTATGCTATCTCAGTAACTGTTCTTCATGTTCTCGTCACTTCTGCTGGTAAGTAAAAGAGCAGAAACAAAGAAAATGAGTAAATTTGATGTTGTATCTAGATGATGTCCTGAGGGTAAACTCTGCTCTAGGCCCCAAATGATGAAAGTCCCTTTTGCTCTCTTCCTCCCAGCCATGTTCTTCTACTGCTCCTTGTGAGCAGGTTTACACAGCTCCGAGTCCGGGTCAAGGCTCTACTGAAATGTAGGTGTTTCCTGTCTGCTTTTCACATTCAACTTGCCATTCATTTGTGGGAAGTTTGTCTCCATAAGAAAGATTTTCCCTCTAAAATTTTTTCCCGAGGTAGAAATTAACCAACGGATCTGAAAGTGGGGCATTAGCCAACCTAGAGTATTTGTGGGCTCGCAAACTTCCCGACTATCCTTACTTTTAACAAGAATACCAGTTCTTAACAAGTTTTTATCTCTCCCTGTGATCTTTGGAGGTACAAAAAAAAGCATGCAAATTTCAGTTCCACCTTTTCCTGGTGTATAGTCTTGGCCCAGTCACATTTTACTTCAGTTTCCTCTGCTACAAGAGGGAGAGACCTGACAAAATTTCAGTGCGAGCGTGAGAAATTCTCTGAAACAGCATTCATCACAAAACAATTACCCCATCCTTGAGAGTTTCCCCCACCACTCATCCATCCATCACCTTTTTCCTCACCTACCTCCACTCCATTATTTTTTTAAACATACAAGTGTGGATGATTGTAAGTAAACACATGTTATAATTCAATGCTTATTTTTTATTAACAATTTAAATGACTCTTGAAATTTTAGCATCTTGATCTATTGATAGTATAATCTGTCTGCAATTTAAGAACACAGTTTCCAAATGAATTGCTACTTCCCGGCTCTATTGCTATTAGAGAATGCCAGTGTATCGATCCTCTAGCATCAGTTTGCTTAGATACAAACCCTCTCTCAGTCACTCAGAGGATCTTGGGTTCTTTCCACCACCTCTCATTCCCTATTTTACTCTAGGGCTCGAAGTTTCCAGGAAGAGAGCCGCAAAATGTCTGTAAAAGGATCTGGGTTTGTAAAGTGGTCCAGTCCTCAAGGTGGCAATAAGCTGCTGGTTCAGAACCCAAAAAGTTCTTAACTCATTGCCTGACATATGGCATGTAGAAGATGCTGAACAAATGATTGTTTATTAGAAGTAAGTCCAGAGTGAAGAGATTCAGGATTCTAGAGGCAGCCAGGACTCAGGATGGTCATAGAGCAATCACTGTGGCATATCACCTCAAATCAACACTGTGAGTTCACTAAGAACCTGATCGTTCAGAACATCACATCTAAGGAAGGAGTTCTGAATGTTTAATTTAACAAATAGCATTTTAGACCATGACTTAAATACAAAATTTTGGCCCCCTGATTCCATGATTGTGAATAAAATTTTGCTTTGTTCTACTGATGTGATTCAACCAAACCAAAAAAAAATATATTTCTTCATCAGTAAAAAGTTAATGTATACTTTGAAAATAAATACTACCTTTTTTTATTCTATTGTAGTTATGTTGGAATTCCCCTCGACATCGCATTGGTGGGCCGCTTTAGGTATGTTGGAATTGCTCTGTTTAGATGCTCTGATGTACAAAAATAATGTTGACTAGCATAAATTTAGGAGATAGATTTTATTATCTCAGACATGAATTTTGTTATGTTATTCTCTTTCTAAGAGCCTTGGGATGGCCATATTCTCTTTATAAGACAATAATAATAATGATACCCATGTCAATGAAAATCACACAGTTGACTGAAGGTGGACTCCACTGGCTGTCTCTTCCAGCCCAAATATACTCTGAGGGCAGCCCAGCTATAGTCCACACCAGACGTTCTGCCAGCTTAACAAGGGTTGGAGACACACTGGCAAATAGACATATGAGAAGTTTACTAAAAGCTGCTTCTCCTTTTGATGAAATTTGCATTTATGAAGGAATGACAGATTTTTCTTTATATATTGAGCAACATATACAGTGGAAATGAATGAAAGCCGGAGAAACCCTCTCTATTCTCACAAAGTTTTCTTTAAGCTGTAGATTTCCTTAGTCTGCCTCTATCTCACATACACTACTAGTTCATTCTCTGTTCTTTTCCTCTCAATTTTCCCCTGCATTGGGTATTAAACACCAAGACATTATAGGGAAACCAGAGCAAATTTTCCTTTTAAAAAGTGTTTATTTTTGTACTTCTACTGGAATCCACATGTGGAATGTTAAACTTACACATAGAGGTGCCTCAGGTATTCATTATACACATGAGCTGATAGGATAGACCCAGAAATAGCATGAGGCACAGGTGTATGCAAAACTGGAGGCCAAACGGTGCAGTTCCCCCATTTCCTTCTCTGATATCTTCCTGTCCTTCCTGAGTGTCATGCTTGACTCACCCCTAGTTTTATCCTAGGACTAGCCTTCATTTCTTCTTATGACCCTAAATACACAAGATCTTCTTAGATGCAATTTATTGGAATAAATCTCCCAGCAGTCAAGGATCCCCTAAAAGGGTGAATTTTTAGTGGGCCCAAAAGGCTACAACCTGTTGTATGTTTTACTAGAGGGAACTGCGTTCTACAGGATGATTCAAGCAAAATTGTCAAGTCTCAAATTATCTCTCCAAAAAGACAAAATGTTGATGAAGAAAGTGAGAATCACCACAAAAATGGCTGTCCACTGAAATCAGTAAAGTGTGGGAAAAGTTCATGTGTAAGGAACAATTAAGAGTATACTGAAGTAAATTAGCTTCTGCCTTCCTCCTGTTTGTGGGGGAGCCGCTGAACTGGAGATCGATCACACATGCGGGGCTAGAGCAAAGCCAGCCCGAGAACACAGAGCTCCCGAGGCAAGCCAGACAAACAAGTTGTTAGGCAGGTCGTTTCTCCCATTAGGAGAAATGTTTCACCTGTTATCAGCCTCTTCCTGGTTGTATAAATAAATGCAGCCACTGGGCAGTTCTTTTCTCCCGCCCGGAGAGGAGGCTCCACCTGCTCTCATCTTTCTGCATTCTGACTCTTGTGTTCATTTCTTCATTATCTCCCATTCACTGCCCCCCACCTGGGAATTTCAAGAGACACAGTAGAGCTGTGGTCTGCAGCTGAGTTTCTTCTGCATGCAGATCTCAAGGACAAATATGGGTGGGGCTTGGCTGACTGTGGCATTGCCCTTTCATGGACCATCCTTTGAGAAGCAATGATGGAAAACATGCCAACCATTTTAAGCTATGTGCAATACCTGACTTGAAACAAAGCCAGTAAGTTTTATTACTTACCACTACTTTCAAGTTCTTAAAATTCAGAAGTCCTTCAAGTCATCTAAATTTAATCTCCATTGTTGTTTTCTAATATCGTCATTTCCTGGAAGTGCCCATCCACATTTAGCTCATTCTTAAATAATTCAGTCTAGAAATTATGTTTTCCCTAGAAGTCTATTTTATGAAATAGGAAAATCTAGATAAGAAATAGCAACTATACAAGAAATTAGAATGTTATAATATATCTTTTTAGTGGGGGGAACTGGATATTAAACCCAAAGCCTTTGCATGGACCTAAATCCCCAGCACTTGCTCTTTTTTATTTTGAAGCAGGGTCTTTCTAAGTTGCTAAATTGCCCAGTCTGAGCTTGAACTTGCCTCCTGCCTTAGACTCTCAGAGTTACGGGATTATGGGCATGTGCCACTATTCTCAGTTTATAATGTCACTTTTAAAAATTGTTGTTCCTTAATCATGTTATGAAATAATTAGAAACTTAGGAAGAAAAATAGCGTCAAAACATGAACATATATTTATGCTAATAAACAGTCACATAAAGCAAAGCTGGATGCTTCCAAACAGGCTCCAATATTTGTCAAGTACAGAAGCTATTTACCTCTAAATATGTTGCATTTGGCTTCCACATATACAGATTACATAATATTTTCAAAAACATAATAATCTTGTCTGATATCTTCAATCTGTTTGGATAACAGCAAGCAAACCCAAACGTACTCTGGTACTGCCACTCAATTTTGATGCCCCACACAGTATTAACACTTGCATTTATTGATTGTTTAATATGAGCCAGGAGCATTAGATTGATCTCACTAACCTTACTGCAGTTCTGTGAGGTAAATGTTCTATTCTAATTTTGCAAACGTGGAAACTGACCTGTACAGAATTGGATAATTTAGTAGAGTTTCTGCAGCCCCAAAGGTGGGTCTTATTACTAACTTTTCTTTATGACATAGATTGCCACCCAGAGATGCTCCTATGTAGGAATGACTGCAAAGATGTGGTAGTTTTTGCCTTGGTGTCCAGGAGGATCTCAATTAGTGAATACACAAGGTAACATACAGAGCTTACAGAAATTTACAGATGTCCACTGTGCAGGCAATGAAAAGAGCACAAAGACACTGAAAAGAACATAGAAGACCAATGAGACTCACAGCTTGGATAGGATGTCCCTGTTGCTTTTCAGTTCTATGACTGGTTTTCCCAGTTGAACAAAGCATGTTTAGAATAAAACATGACTTAAGAAAAAATGGACAGACAGAAATGATCAAAATATGTGTCTTGAAACTCAATTGCTTATGCTTTTGAAAAGAAAAATTTAGAATGCTGTAAATTGCAAATATTTAAAATAAATTTTAAGAGCTGAAGTGTTTGTAATAAAATATTCAACCCCTAGCACTGTAACTGACATATACTGGATTGTCAATAGGTATTAGTTTGGTAAGTGCAGAGAAAATGAAATGAGATGAAGTAGCAGAGATTTCCCTGGCAAGTAGTAAGTATATTTGGGATCTTGATAGACAAGATAACTGGGGGGCAGGTGCTGTTTAATTTTCAACTTTGTGAAGGCTGAAGAGGTAAACAGACAATTACCTGTTGTATGTCAATTTTATTGATAACTATTATGTATTATATATTTGAACACATTATTGGAGTATATTACATGATATATGATTATACCATATGATTTGTTACTTATTTTATATATAATTATTACATATTTGAACACATTGGAGCATATTATATGATACATAATTGGAGAACATTATATGATGTATTATATATTATTTATACATTATGTAATATGTATATAATAGCATATATTACTCATATATAATATACTATGCATATTACATTATACATATATATACTATATATATCATATAATATGTCACATAATGTATCACAATATGTACATGATATATATTGATATGTAACAAAGGGGAATAAAATATTTTTGTGTGAGCCATCCAGGTAGTTGGGACAGAAGACTGCTCAGCAACTTTATCGTTCTGTTTGTAACACACTCTTTTTTCTTCATTTGTGGCATTGCAGTCCTCATAGTAACACCAGAAGCAGTGAAACTATTTCAGTTTCTTTTTCTGCTCACAAATTGAACTGAATTCATCAATCATATCATGTATCTAGTAGAACAATTGCTCAATTTAAAGATTTCTCTTTAGATTCAGACAAATATTGTTGATAACATTATCCTAGCCCAGCATTATTTATACTGCGTATTAGCCTCCTTGGGTTTAATTCTCTCCTTACCTTGCATATCCAGGAATTTTGTATGTGTACTTTTCTAGCGCTGCTCAGTACATCCAGAAAGCACGCAGAAAATAGTAATGTTTTACTTGGTACAAGCCTTTCAAAGATGTAAATGTTTTGTAAATTGGAAGAAAAATACTGAAAGAAATGCTATAATTGTAAGTGGAAATAGCATTTTCTTTGTGAAAAATAGCAAATTGTCCCCTTGAGTTTTATTTATAACACCATAAAATTTACTGTGCCTTCACTGGCCCACCCACATGACAAGTGTCACCTGGAGCCAATGACAGTCCCATGTAGGGGAATGGAGTGACCAGTAGAATTTGATAACACAGTTGGGTTACTATTTTCCTTTGAATAAGTACAGTTGGTTTCCTCAGAGTGGAGTCACCTCATGACATTGGACGTGGTTTTCATTGAATGAAAAGCATTTTTGCTCAGGAGAACAGTGACCAGGCCTGTTGGGAATGTTCTCTCAGGACCTCACTTTAGCCAGGAGCTTTCAAGTGAGGAAATTGGCAGTCCTGTCAGGCTTCCTCCCCTGGACAGCTTTATCTTTCGTGGACATTATGTTGTGAATGGTATACAAAGAACAACCAACTTATGAAAACTCTCTTATTGGATGGTATTGGTTGAATTGATATTTTAAAATAAACAAGAACCACTGAGCTGGTGCAACTAGAACTAAAGATATTTTCATAAAATCAAATAACCCAGATAGGTGGATTTCTGATTTTAGAAATATTTCCTTCACTTGAGGTTGATGAACACGGTTTTCTTTTATAACCAGAGGGGAATACCTTAGTCTATCATCCATCATCCATCATCTATCTATCTATCTATCTATCTATCTATCTATCTATCATCTATCTATCTATCAATCTGTCTGTCTATCTACAGGTATGTAAACAGTAACAACACAAATAAACAGCTAGTGGAAAAGTTGAAAGAACTAAGGATTCTTTGGTATGTGCATTCACTTCATTTCCTTAAATCTCAGAGTTTTTAAGCACTTTTTATTATTGATTCTCACCTATTCTCAGAAAGAAGTTTGAAATTTCAACAATTGAACAACCT